GTATTGCGCTCTTGTTATTGCCGGGTGATTTCTTTAGCTCCCACAGCTTTCTCCTTTCATATGCTGGAAGGTCGATTGGAGCATTGATGCATATAACTAATATTGCGTCGCCTGATACTGTTCTGTAGGCTGATGCGACTCTGAGGGCTGTGGTGCGGTTCACCTTGGCCACTGCCTTTCGACGGTTTTCCCTTTTAAGCGCGTCTGCCCAGATTTCGGCTCCGTATAATAGGACGCTGATTGTCGTCGACATTAGGAGCTTTCTCTTTTCTTGGCTGGGGTCATTAATCGGCTCAGTTGAGGAGTGATCTTCGCTGCCTTACCTGTGGCGTGCCGAATTTGTTCCCAGAAGGTTAGTCTGGGGCCCAGTCTTACGCCTAGGTAGTTTACTGCTTTTTGTATCCTAAGAATATCCGTAGTCGTGTGCATGCTTATCTCGAGAGGTATGTGCTTTTTTGTTAGCAGTGGTAGCTCTGTTTTCTCCATAGCCATGCTTGCGTCCGTATCATGACCTGATTCAGCTTTCTTCGCGCTTCTTCTGTATCCTTTGCTGTGATTACTGCCTAGCCAATTAGATACGACTCTGGCATTTCTAGTTTTAATATTTCGTCATAACTAATATTCCACAGGTCTGGCCCTAGAGTGGATCCTTGTGCTGCCCCTGACGTGACTGCTGTCTATCGTGATCCCTCTTTAGTTTCCTACAGCAGTTTCCTGTTACTGAGTTAGCTCCGCACCATAGCCCTGAGGTTGTCGGGTATATCTAAGCTTTTCTCGAGGGCATCGATCATATCTACCCAGTTAGCGCTGTTGAAGGCCTTTCAGGCGTCTAGAGTCACCAGAAACACTATTCTTTTGTATTTATGCCATCTGCGCTGCGCGGCTTCTACGCTTTCTATGACGCATTTTATAGCTCCTATGGTTGATTTGCCGGGTCTAAAGCCGTGCTGTCTAGGGGACAGTCTTCGTTGATAGTCGCTTCGAGTGTGGGTTTGAGTAGGCTTTCGTACAGCTTTCCCGCTGTGTCAAGCATGCATAATGGACGGTATGCTGATAGCGAATTAGGGTGTCATTTTCCCTTACTGATTAGCACCATCCGTTGCTTTTTCCAGGGTTCAGAGAATATTCCGGCTTCAAGGCAGACGTTGTACAAATTCATTAGTACTCCTGGGCGCTCTGTTGCGATTATTTTGAGGACTTCTGCTGTTTTGCTTTGGCGCTGATTGACAATGTACAACTTTGACGGCCTTCATTTTAGTTAAACACAGTCACCATTGGAAAAACCCTATATTCAATAATCCACATACTTACATTCATATTTGACCTACTTTCTTAACTCAACAAAGCCCTCATTGGGTCATCTGTTAGCTTTGCTGCAAACTCAGATCTATATGTACGAATTTAAATCTTTCGAAGTATTTGCAAATTTATTTTATAAAAATTAAATTAGAGTTCATTATTATGAAAGGCTCTAATCAAATGGATTAAATAATGGTGCCTGCATACTATAAATTATGGTGTAGAAAAAAGTCTTTACAATATTACCATATTATCTTCTTTAACATTCAAGATATCTAACGCAACATAAAGAAATCTGTATTGATTTCATATTCATTATACGAAGCTAAGGAAAGTAGTAATTTTTATGAACTTCGGTGGAGGTATTCTTTAAGATATCCCTTCTGGCTTATAACGTCCACGCCTATTAGCTTAGACAATTAAGAAGTTAATTGACTTATAGTGTCTAATTTTTAAACGTACTCAATTTATCTTATGCAATACGCGTCTCTCAGTTGCGTGGAAAAGAATGTGTAATACCTTAAAAAATAGGATTTTCGAGCTAAAACCAATCAGCACAAAAGATCGGTTTTGTGGTGAGAAAAAAGGATAAGTTGAATCTCTACAGCATGCAAAGAAAAAAAGAACGAGGTTCCTTGTGGAATATTGCACAATACAACTTTCGTAGTCGATAGTACATTTTTATTACTGAGTAATAATGAGGACATATGTATGTTTAGAATGTTTTTAAGTTTGATTAAAATAGTTTTAAAACGATATTATTTGCGAAAAGTAGCCGTGGTCGGGTTTCGAATTAAAATATTTATACTCTATAAGCAAAAAAAAAAGGGGTCGTTTGGGAATAACCAAAAGTCACACGAAACTAAATCAGGCGAATATGGTGATTGCGACACGATATTGTTTTGGCGAAAAACTCACGAAATATGTATCACATCAGCATGCGAAGGTGCATTATCGTGGTGCAAAAAGCAAGAGTTGTCGAACCATAATTCCATCCCATTTTTATACTCTCGCAACAAAGTTGCTAAAGAGAGTATTATAGTGTTGTTCACATAACGGTTGTTTGTACGTCCTAAAACTAAAAGAGTCAGATATAGGGTTATATATACCAAAGTGATCAGGGTGACGAGTAGAGTTGMAATCCGGATGTCTGTCTGTCCGTCCGTCCGTCTGTCCGTCTGTCCGTCCGGCCGTGCAAGCTGTAACTTGAGTAAAAATTGAGATATCATGGTGAAACTTGGTACACGTATTTCTTGGCTGCATAAGAAGGTGGGCAAAATCGGCCCACTGCCACGCCCATGAAATGGCGGAAACCGAAAACCTATAAAATGTCATAACTAAGCCGTAAATAAAGATATTAAAATGAAGTTTGGCACAAAGGATCGCATTAGGGAGTGGCATATTTGGGCGTATTTTTTTTGGAAAAGTGGGCGTGGCCCCGCCCCCTACTAACCTTTTTGTACATATCTCGAAAACTACTATAGCTATATCAACCAAACTGTATAGAGTCGTTTCTTTTAGGCATTTCCATATACAGTTCAAAAATGGAAGAAATCGGATAATAACCACGCCCACCTCCCATACAAAGGTTATGTTGAAAATCACTACAAGTGCGTTAATCGACTAACATAAAACGTCAGAAACACTAAATTTTACGGAAGAAATGTCAGAAGGAAGCTGCATCCAGGATTTCTTTAAAAATTGAAAATGGGCGTGGCGTCGCCCACTTATGGACCAAAAACCATATCTCAGGAAGTACTCAACCGATTTCAATGAAATTCGGTATATAATATTTTCTTAACACCCTCATAACATGTGTTAAATATGGGTGAAATTGGTTCACAACCACGCCTTAAATCTCGATTATCACTTTATCATTCGAGAGTATAAAATGTTCGGTGACACCCGAACTTAGCCCTTCCTTACTTGTTACAAATAGCTTCGCGTAAAAGACGTTTCATACTCGAACAGTAATCTTTGTTGACACGTTGGCCAGTCGATAGAAATTCGGAGTGCATACAATAATCGGAGGAAAGTGTTAACATAACTTTGATTTTTAACCTGATTTGACCTGTTTTTTCAGCTTCGGCTCACCGATTTTTCGTCTGTTTCCAGGTCGAAAGACCAGCTCCAGAATAATACCTTTCACGACATCGTGGTCATAGAAAACCATTGTTTCACAGACGTTAACGTGACAGGAGTTCGGAACCAATCGTGCTTTAACTTGCATTAGGCCCAAATGATCTCCGGAAATGGTTTTCACTGATCCTATCGATATTCAAACGATGCCAGTAAAATTTCTGTGTGTTTGTGTGTTATTCGTCTATCCTAAATTTTCAATTTCTTTATTTTATTGGCGTGTTGATTATCATTCGATGCTGGTTCGTATTTAAATAGGAATTTAGAATTGCAAAGGAATGCGTTTCAGCATTCCTGGTTGACGGTTGAATAATTTCTTCTTCAGAATCCTCGTTGTTTTTCATTTGGGTCTGAAATATTCGATCTAAAATGTCATCTGTTATAAATCCAGCTGGGCAAAACTCATTGTGCACCTCAATTAAATATGTAATAGTAACTTTTAAAGAGATAAATAAAAGCGCGGAATTATACGTGAGCAGCTGCTTACAAAGTGGGATTTCACCGAAAAATGCAACTTAAAGAATCATGTGCAAATTTACAGGGTAGGAGACCTTTATATACAGGTTAAAGGTAGAAAGGTAGAAGGCCGGAAAAAAGCGAATTTCCAGAATTTTTTCTAAGAAAACTTTTAAACTTATTGATACAAAAATATTAAATCTAGTAATTAAGCAAAAGAATAAGCACAAAAAAGTTGTTTTGACAAAATGGCGGTTTGTAAAAAAAGTCGATTTAAAAAGTTTGATTTATGGAAAGAAATTTGTATGAAATTTTACTTTAAACGCTTTGCCTTTTGAATTGGCATTCATTCCGGTTATGGAGAACTTCGAGTTGTAGAAGTTAAAATTATGGAAGTTCAACTTTACTTTTGTTTCAACGTAAGAAACTGTAGTTCATTACCAGATTTTCATAACTTCATAATCATGGAAACAAAAATAGAAAACAAAGTAATACCTCCTCTTTACTAAGAGCCGTAGCGATACTAACACTTTCCTCTGCATCTGAATGATCTGGATGTCCCAGATCGAATGGTAGATCATTAATTTGAGTTATTGGAAAAGACCCGCATAGCCTTCGCGTAATTAAGGTTAGGTCTTTTTTTATTATTCATGTGTTTCTAAAATATTTGAAAATTGTGGTGAATATGGTAGTTTTTTTTATCGAAAAACTCTCAAAGGAACAGTTGTAGGAAATTAAATTTCTGACGTAAAGCTCCAAACGCTCATGTCATATAACTTTTTTTGGAGATATATTATTATAAGATTATAAAATATATATTTAATAAAATGTATGTATCTAAACCTTGATTCAATGGCTTTATAACAATTTTTTATTGAAATCTATCATTTTATGTATCGGGGAAGAGAAAAAGGTTGTAATGGAACACCCTATTATACACACGTATTTAATAGCTTCAGGCGCTTAATGGTGCAGAAGGCTGTGAGCTCAATTTATTTTATGTTTGTTTAAGCAAATTTACATATTTAGTTTGTATGAAGTGAATTCAACTAATTTGTGCTGAAATCATAATTATTTAAGTACAATTGTTTTTTCTTTCTTCCTCTTTACTCCAAATAGGGGTACATTGGTACGCCATCATTGTTTTGTAGAACTTGTTTGTGTTGTAGTAAGATATGATTTAAATTATTTCGGTAGTTTTTGTAATTCATGACCTTCTTCTGTTGAATCTCATTCACCCAAAATTTGGAGGAGCCCTCATATTTCGCCGGTTTAACTCTGCTTCGAAGAGCGCGCAGCCACTGAAATAAATAGCAGTCGCATTAATACTGATACTTATACTTATGGTACTTCCAGCACTTTAAATCGTAAAGCTAATTTACTTTTACGTTGTTATGACGACGGCGACGAGACATTTGCATGTTGCGGCTGGCGCAATATGGGCGCAAAGTGACGTAATACACTATTTCGATAATGGAGAAGATACTAAATCCCATGAATAAGCCCAATAGACCACCAGTGTTGGCTATGAAGTTAAAAAAAAAAAATATGGGTCGTCATTATTTGCACTTTACACACACATTTAGAACTTACAAAGAAACTCAGTGAAGCCGAACATCTCTGACTTCGTAGTGCTGCGCAATATACTTGATACATAATAAAAGTTCACTATGGATATCTCAGAAAAGTTTGTAGCCGAACTGAATAACTCGGGTGGCCACTCATCGGCTGTCAAGAATTGTCCATAAGCGATTGTCGTCGACGTAACGGTTGCCCTGTAGCTCAGTTCAAAGCAAGCCGGCCAGCAATTGGCGCAAGTCACTTTTTTATCCGACGACTCGATTTGCGTTTGTATCTCATTCGTGCACGCATTGTCATTGGGTCCACAAATACGTGCTGAGGCATTAATGCGTGGCAAATAGTAAAGGACACAGTCGCATTTATCAATCAGAATTTTCGCTTCGCACTCGATTTCGCAATTCCTGCGCGAATATGTGCGGTAGTAGGTTAAGTCACCTTCGTCGGAAAAAAGGCAACGCCTTTTCTCCTTGCGTATGGAACGAATGCCAGGAACAGCGTTCTCATAAATCGGTTCGATTGGAATGCGTGCTTCTCGTCCGGCGGTCACTAAAAATCCATAATTAGTTACCCTGGGTAGTTCGGCGGGATTATGCACCAAAATCTAGGATTGGATTAAGAAATGTTATTTTTGACGTCAATGTATTAATCTCAAATTTTCGAGCAGCTACCTTGAAGCCAACACTCTTAGATTTCGTGCAGTAATACTCTGATGCTGAAGAGTTTAAGACAACAGTTAGACCTAGCCGACTTCCCGTACCACCCGATACACGTGGATAATAATTTTTCGGCAGATCAGCATTGTAACCCTTTTCGGGTGTCCAGTCCATCGGTACAAAATGGTTAGACGATTTTGGCGAGATGCGGTCTTCATCGCTGCATTATTATACCGTTAAAAGAAATATTCTGTCACAAATATTTTTTTTCGAACCATCTGAAAATTACCTAAAATTTCGTTGCATAAAAATTGGATCCAGCGCATTAAATGTGCAACATAAGCCATCGTCAGTTAAGGCAGAGTTGAAGATCACTGAGCAGTTCTCTTGCTTCGCTCCATAGCTGCAGTACAAAAGCATTTCATCGCAGGGCTGTGCCACCTGTGACACATTAAGAAGAGGATGCTTCAATGGAAATGCGTAAATACTAATATTCATAACAATGTTATACCGCTTTCAGAATGGTTTTAAAATTTGCCCAAGTGCCTCTAACGTTATACGATTCTCCCAACTGGTTCTGTCCACAGAGACTCATGAGTAAAGAATAATTTAAATTTTGTCTATAATAAGAGCTGAATAAAATGATTATACAGACGATTTCGAAATTTATTTGTAAATTGGAATTAATGTCTTCTTACGTCGGAATGCCTTGCACTTTGCTTTTGGATGCCTGATTAAGGTTACATATGGTTATTGCTGGGAAGGGTACATCGCTGGCCAGTGTTTGTTTGGCACTTGTCGAAATTATTATCGGTGATGCAGACCATTTAACATAGACATTGGATATAAAGTAACCGGATAATATAACCACACCAATAAAAGACAGACCAAAAAACACTCTAAAATTCCGAATTAAAAAATTATAAACATATAGGAAAATTATATCATCGAGTTCAATGGAACCACAGTACAAAATGAAAGAGCTGGAAAAGTTAAAATACGGTGAATAGTGCTATAGCAGTACTATTAATTTCACACGGTATCTTTCTTAGTAACTGAAATATCTGCTGATCCAATTAGAGGACAAATCACGTGTGAATGGTGTCATTGTTATTTTCGTTCAGTATTGTTTGGTATTTCATCATGGAAACACTTACGTCTGAAGAAAGCTTACAAATCGGTCAACTTTATTACGGAAATTTACGTTCTATAAATAATGTGTTTATTAACTTGAGATCTTAAATTGAAAGCGTAAAAAGTAGGGCTGAAACCGCTCGACCTTCCAAATCGACATCGTTTCGCTCTAAAGGCGCTTGAAAAGTTTCAAGAAGATCCGAGGTTCCGACGTTCTCGAGCGCAATTTTTTCAGCGATGAGACTCATTTCCGGCTCAGCGGGTATGTAAAGAATTAAAATTGCCGCATTTATGCGTAGAGCCACCTGAAGAGATTCAAGAGCTGCCATTTCATCCAAAAAAACAAAGTTATAGTGTGGATTATGCGCCGCTGGCATCATCCGATCATATTTCTTTAAAATGATGACAGTGAGAACATAACCGATCGTCAATGCCGACCGTTAACCGACTATACGATACCTGAGATTGAAGCTCGTGATCGTCTGATGACAATTGGTGTCAACGTCGGATCAATCAATATTTTTTTTTAGAGAACACTTCGGTATGCAGATAATTTCACAATTTGGACCGGTCGATTGGCTACAAAGATCGTGTTATATCACACCGTTAGACTTTTTTCTGTGCGATGTTACTAATTTTCATAGTGTTTGTAATGAGGTTCATGACTAGGAAGTTATATAAATCGCTCAAATTGATATTTACCTCTCGGGCAAAGTAGTTTTGTCCTCCGCAATGTATTTCAGGCCATGCAAGGTGGTATTTTGCAAATAATATTTACAACTTTTCTTTGCAGCCTCCTTGGAACAGAAATTATCATCCTCGATTTCCTCGCTGGAGCAATCGCTGCTTTTATGTTTTGGACGTACTACAAGTAAAAGTATGGAAATCTGAAAATGTAAAACAAAATCTAAAATTTCCTACTGCTCACCGGACACTTTCGGCTTTTCGGGCGTGAATTTTGGTTTCAACTGCACCAAACGATCTTCGGCATAAATGTTCATGTTGCACCAGCGGCTTAGAGTTTTTAATTATAACGGAGTGAAGTATCTAAAGTTGAATCGATTCGAATGGCTCTCGCACATATGAAGGCACACTCAAATATTTAACTTTAAAATGTGGAAAGAATTCATATTCGCCAAAGCAGCGCAAATCATATTTACTAATGGCAAATAAGAAACCAAATAGTTATAATATAGTCACAGGCATGCCATGGAATCCGTGTATACGCACATCTACTCAACGCTCAGTGTGTGTCCACATGTCCAAAGGTTAAATGTATTTGTTGCTACACGCCTCTACTAAATATGGTACGAATATTGTTGGCTTGCAAATATTGGTCTATGGCAAATAATACCGTTGCTAACGATTTGAGGTGACCTTTACAAATATGTGGCACGTAAGTGTTTCACTTTTTGGTAAGTACTGCTATCTATGCGAGTGGAAGGATAATATTTGCGAAGACAAACCGTTATTTGTGCACAAATGAAGCGCCGTAATTTGCAGTTTTTGGTGATACATTTTTTTGGTGAGAGTTAATATTTAAAATAGCCAAAGTGCTGAAGTGTCACATCTTCGGTGGTAATTTAAATTTATTGTTTTGATGTAATGAGTATACTGGAGTTTTGTATGGATTAATGAAACGTGTTTTGGGTCTGTTGGCTAAAAGTGCACACGGTCTGCGCCTAGAATTGTCAATTTTCCGAACGGAGTTTAGTCGCCATGATCGTATACAGAAAAAGTAAATAATTTCAGCAAACGAAATCAAACTAAATCCCATAAAAACTCCAATGAGACCACCGACACTGGCTGAAAAGTTAGAAAGCATTAAACATTGTTTGCATTGATGTCAGAAAAGTTAAACTTAATTAGATAAATTTCTATGACAACACAGTGCTGGTAAGGATATTCTTACTTAAGATAAGTACAGTTTAGATTAGTTTAGCAATTTCTAATATGTGTGCTGAATTCTTTAAGTCCAATTACTCTTCAAACCCTCCCTTAAAAATGTTCCGTATCAGCATAAGTTATGTCCGTTTTCTGTAATTATTGCAACTATCATTTCCGAAACAGACGCCTTATATCAGTTAAATATGTTAGAACTATTACTTAATTATGGCCTAGATATGATTCCCTCTTGCTGCCTTAAATAATGTGCCAAATATATATACAAGGCTTATTTTCATCATTATGGAAAAAATAATTTAAACTTCTTTTGCAAAAGAGTGGATTTAGGTGATCCCCTGAAAACTATATGGGAATAGAAAACTTGTCAGAAATATCTAATATTTTTGCAGAAATTATAACAGACGAAATAACGTTCTAGATTTCTCCACTAATTTCTTGCTCCCAGCAAGGTTTTTGTAAAGGGAAATCTAATTTTTTAGAATTTATAACACATGTCTCAAGGGGCTTTGGGGAAATAAAGAATTTCTAAAATGGATTGCTTCTCAAATGATCCACTTAGTAAAAAAATTCTTTGTACATCTTTGGTGAGTAACCTTGTAGGGTTTTATTTTTTGCCTTAAATCATTTTCATTGGAATTCCAGGTTAAAACTTCTACCAATGCTCGCTAATCGTAGATAATGGTAGGAATAATATTTTTTGTACAACTAATGAATGGGTAAGTCTGTCCATCTTGTTATCTGATATTAATTTTAACGTCCCCTTCGCGCAACCAGGCAGTTTAGACCTTTACTTTTAAACTTTTCTAGAACGAATTATTTCGCAGTATACCTATGCCACGATGTCAAATTTCCATTCCAGCACATTTAATCTAACAGACTCACTCATTACCATTAAATAAACTATTTAATCTACTCTTAACAAGTAAAATTTAACAATAACAAACTTACTTTATAATAAATCTTTATTTGGACTGTGGAAGTTCTTGTTTGCTTAAGATCGGAACACTTAACAACTCTCTTGCTTTTTTTTACTCGGATAATTCCGAAATTTCAAAAATGTATAACATTTTTCCAAGGCTTCCCTAATACCCGTATTAGATTTATATCATACCATAGGTGTTATAGATATCCTATGATATCAATTTTGACATCTCTAAAAGCTAAATCCTATAACAAGAAAAACTTGCAATTGTCATAAAACGGGATTATTATAGCAAGATGTTCGTAGGCGAGGTATAGATTATTCAGTTTTTGCTTAAGTTAAAATATACGAACTTTTCGTTACTTTATAGGATATTATATGCAATTACTCGCTGGGGCTTTCGAAACCAGTTCATTAAAAAAAAAAATATTTGTTGTGTTAAAATTTCGGCAAAGTGCCTACTCAATCGTTCAATCTTCTAATTAGTCATATTGCGTACTCTTTTTGAATTTCATAATAAAAGAGAATGTTCACATCGCCTATCACGATGCCCAGAAAACGCATTTAGTAGAAAAACAAAATAGGTATACATATGTATAGGAGTATATCAGATGGATTGAATAAGACCATTGTCATATATTAAAACTTAAATTTTGAAAAAATGAATTTGCTCCTGCACAAACCGGTGAAGCAATGTCAAGCAAGCTTAATGGAAACTATGACCTTGATTTTACAGTAGTAAATAGTGTGAAATCGAAAAATATTCATAACCTAGTGTTGTTTGTCAGAGCGGGAAAACAATTGTAAACAAATAATTTCTGTTCCATTAAAATTTTCAGGAACCAATCATTGATGTTATAGCGATTGATGTTATAATATTTCTAGCGTATAATTTCAAATCCTGAGCTGGTCGTCGAAGATAGCAGTTAAAAAGACAGCCCCAATGAACTCAGATATAGGAAATTCTGACACTGACTCAACAGAAAAACAAAAAAAAAACACATCAGATAAAATGCGTCAACACGCCAAAAAACTATTGCGAAAATTGCACTTCTCAAGCGGCCAGTAGCATCGCTATGCATTGCTGGCTAAATGTTCTCTACCAGAGAGTGTTAACAATACAAAAACGTTCACTGATGTGCCTGTCCATACTGCAATTTTCGTGCGTTCGATCTGTATGAAATCGTTGAATATGTGAATATGTGCCACAAGCAAGCGAAAAATTGTTCGTCCGTGATCTTCATTGTTCGGCGACACGAGAGAAATAGGACATAATAAATCAAACATTTTCGCAAAAATGGACGGCCACACACGAGTAAACCGCAATCGCGCACATGCCTATCGAACGCACATGTGTGTCGTGTATGGCCACTTTGAATGAGGACGAAAGAGGATCGTGTGTATATGGGATTATAACTGATATCCGAATTTAATTTATCATAATTAATAAATAATTGGCTGCCTTTTTCTTCTTCATAATTGGCGTAACTTACGCGATTATAGCCGAGTTAACAACAGCGCGCCAGTCGTGCCTTCTTTTTGCTACGTGGCGCCAACGTAGCCGCTGACTTTTAATTCGCTGAACTATGTTAATATCCTCATATATCTCATACAGCTCATCGTTCCATCGAATGCGATATTCGCCGTGGCCAACGCGCAAACGACCATAAATCTTTCGCAGAACTTTTCTCTCGAAAACTCGCAACGTCGACTCATCAGTTGTTGTCATCGTCCAGGCCTTTGCACCATATAGCAGGGCGGGAATAATTAGTGACTCATAGAGTTTGGTTTTTGTTCGTCGAAAGAAAACCTTTCTTCTTAATTGCCTACTCAGTCCGAAGTAGCACCTGTTGGCAAGATTTATCCTGCGTTGGATTTCCAGGCTGACATTGTTGGTGGTGTTTGCGCTGGTTCCAAGATAGACGAAATTATCTCATCTAGATGTGTATAAGAGAATGGTCGCTACGTAATCTGCAGTAAAGCACTTT